GCAGATCAAATGGAAGGAGAGAAGAGTTATAACCCCCCTCACTGAGGGCCCCTCCCCTCGAGGAAAAGGAAAGGAGGAAAGAGCAAATGGTCCTGGGATGCCAACAGTTCCTACCCCAGCTGGATGGGAAACATCACGAAGAGTCAGCTTCTCAGCATCCATGGGGGGCCAGGAGATACTCTCCTCAACCAGCACAGGGAAGCTCAGATGTGGTTGGAGGGAAGGCTGTGTCCCTGTGGAGGGGACAGCACTGTTCCACGGCCATGAACCAAGGGGGAAGGCCCCAGCAAGCATCTCCCCAGGGTCCAGCTGTGCCTGTTCCTCCATCGTGCCAGACCTTTCAGAGCCAGCTTCAAGCAAATAGCTTAATTAAATGCCTTTATTCCAAGGACTCCCTCTGTGTGTTTGTGTATTTCTGGATTAGCAGTTAATACAGTAAGAGGCTTTATTGCAACTAAATTGATTTCTTCACCTTTTTTTTTCTTCCTTCTGTATGCTGTTTCCCCCTCTTCCCACTCACCAGAGTTCTCCCTTGTCTCAGGGTTTCCCATGCAGATCCTCACCTTCACTGCCAGATGGTGCTGATAAGGGTGTGAAGGGGAGGTGATCACAGAAAGAACCTACCCAGAGAGATCTGAGAGACTAATGATGTTGGAGGTATTCTGGTTTTTTAGGGTGGGCAGGTAATTAAGTGAGCACTGGCTATGTTATCACATGGGGGAGAAGAAATCTGTGCCATGATCTGGGTGATTGCCTTGACAGGCATGGGTGGAACAGGTGGGGTGGGGGGGGAAATCTCCAACCATCCCCAGTCCAAGGACACCACATCTCCCAGGGCGCCAAGCCCACAGATCACCAGAGGGAAACCTCAGCTCCAGACCCAGCTGCAGACCCCTAAGCATTGCTTGGCAGGGACTGTGCAATCCCACCACCTTCTTCTTTCCACTGAAATTCAACTCCCCTACACTGTAATTAAATTGTTACCAACCTATAGTGTGTTGGCCCTGTGCTTAACTTGAAGGCTATGAATGCAACATAGCCATGTGGAATTAACATCAAGGAATTACAGACTTTGCTGCCCACCACTATCTCCAGACCATTCCAAGAACTCATGGTGTTCACACCTTCTTGATGTAGTTAATTAAAAAAATTAGCTAGGTTGGTAAATGCAGTCATTATCCAAGGTGGGATCTGGACACTACTCTGGACTTCTCAGGATGGGCACAGTCCTGTGCTGCACTTCTTCTCCTTTTCCTTTTCCTTTTCCTTTTCCTTTTCCTTTTCCTTTTCCTTTTCCTTTTCCTTTTCCTTTTCCTTTTCCTTTTCCTTTTCCTTTTCCTTTTCCTTTTCCTTCCATCTTTACAGCCTGCCTGCCTACTCCTTCCTGTTTTCCCTCCTTCAGTCTGTCCTCCTTTCCCTCCCCTTCTCCCCTTTCCCTCCCTCCCTCTTGCCCTGTGCCCCATGTCCTTGCAGTGGCTGGCAGGGCTGCCCTCTCCCCTTTCCCTCCCTGGGCAGCAGGAGCTGAAGCCATAATTAAACTTGGCTGGGAGGAACGTGAATCAAAAGGCTGTTAAAAAAGAAAAGAAACAAGGGTACCTGTGGGATTACGTGAGCCAGAAAAATGCAAAGCCGGCTTCCAGCCGCCCATAAAATAGATGCCGTCTCCTTTCCCATTGGCAGGGTTTGGCTGCACACAAAAGGCTAGGAAGAGGATTTTTATGGGAGTTATTTATAGCCTGGATGAATAGTGGTGTGTCTGCTGGCGTGTTTCTGCCTCTCAGCATGTACTGAGGGTGCCAGCCTCGTGGGGTGACACCACACTGGGTTTGGGATAGCACCTGCAAACCTGGATGTAGCCTTGAGACCCAGGCAGACCTTCCTGCAGGACTGAGTGTGACAGCAAAAGAGGAGAAATCAGGACAGGAAAGGGTGGGAGGGAGCAGCTTAGAGAAGCTGCTCTTTGCCCCCCAGAAGCTTCACCTTGGCCGATGTCACCATGCATCTGTGGGGGGACAAGCAACGGGGTGTTCCAGCACAAGAGCTGCCACTCCAGGACCATCCATGGGATATCCGTTGTTCCCCCCTTCCTAACATCTTCACTTCTAACCTGGCTGCTTTTTGTCTGTCCTGGTTTGATAGAGATATCTGAGAAGCCTTCCCCCCACATTTGCACCAGAAGCCAGCACAAAGATTCATCTCATTGTGAACGAGATCAGTTTAAAATCATCCCCAAACTCCACGCAAGGCTCAGAAGTTGGCACTTCAAGAAGCATATTCATTAAATAAAAGCAGGTGGGGGGGGAGAGAAAAAGAAAAGGCAGAGTGGAGGGGGAAGAAAAAAAAGATTACCTTGCTGAATTAATCAGGCTTCACTGTAATGTTCAGCCTCAGATTTTATTTCCTGTAATAAGCCCATTAATACGGGTGTCTATAGCAGGGGGCTTTTAGCAGCAGGCACCATTAGTGTAACGAGGAAGGGCTAATAGAATTTTATTGGAATTTTTACTTCAACATCACAGCCTTTTAAAACAGCTGTCTCAATAGGCATTATTATTCTGATTAACATTTAGACAGCACAAATCATAGTGATGCCCTTGGTGTCCCGCAGGTTTTATCATAATCATTTCAAGTTCTCGATGTGTCGGCTAGTCCTTTCGGGGGTGGGGGTGAAATTTTAGACCCCAGCAGAGGCTGGGGATCATTTCTCCTGTGCCAATGTATCAGCTACTTCTGAGGCGACCTGCTGGACTGTGACGGTACAGGGTCCTGCTATTACTGAAGAACAGTGGAAGCATCTGGAACTAGAAGAGATGATTTTTGAGGATCTCTGATCCCAAGGGGAAACTGAAAGTGGGATGGGAAGGGTTAAAAAGCAAACTGGCATCCTGGGCACCCATCCTGGCTTTGCACTCTCTCTGTTTCTTGCCCACATGAGAATTAAACATCAAATTTTTAAAATTAATTTTTTTTTTAATTGTGTTTGAGTGCACTAATGCAGGGGTTTGCTGCCCAGCATTGTTTTGGGGCTGGGGAACATTTTCCTCACATCTGCAAGACCTGTGCCAGGATGGGAGGTAGCCAGGTCTAAGCTGGAGGCACCTTCAAGGTGTCACACTGGGGGTGTGGAAAGGATCCTCTCAAAGCCCAGAGCCATCCTGGTCAGCTGATGGGGCCAGGTCTCTGTGTAACTGACCCTATTTGAGCCATGGGGAACCCGAGGCGTATGAGGAGGGGCAGCAATTTGCCCCCAGGGACAGCAGAGGCAGACCAGAAGTCCTGTCTCCCGTCCCAAGCACGTAGCCATGAGGGAGTGGAGGAGCTGCCATGACCTACAGACAAATGCGAGCAAAATAAAGGAGGTATTAAACACCAAAAGCAAGCAGGCTGCAGATGGACTTTTGGCTTTTATTTGTCAAGTTTTGTTTTACGAGGGCAATTTATGAGGACATTTTGTTGTGGTCAGGCATGTCAGTGTGCGTGGGGAGCAGCAGCTGGTTTATCCCTGCTCCGGCCATCCCCTGCGGGGCTCAAACCACCCTGGGGACACTGAAGCAGGTGGTTTGGCTTGGAGCCGGGCAGGGGAGCCCAAGGGCACTGGCAAGGCTGGAGACCTACTAATTACTTTCTTATTAGCATCTAATTAGTATCTCTCCACTTCCTTCCCTCTTCTAAGGGCTCTGCCTCCGCCAGGAGTCACCTCATGCCCAGGTGAACCCCGGGGGATGATTTTGCACCTCCGATCCATCCTGGTGTTGCAATGTCTCCCCGTTCCCAGGGCTTTGTAGCAGACTCCTCGGTATTGCTGATGATAATTAGCAAAATATTTACAGATTCCTTCTCTGGAACATCAGGATGGAGGGGGATCCTTCCTTTGGGGCAGGCACAGATGTTTGTGAGCTCTCACAGCTGGCTCCAGCAGCAGGGGAGTGCTAGGCACAGCCAGGGTGCCCAATTTCAGCCATGCCAGATCCTGGGTGCTGCAAGGGCTCCTCCCTTCTTCCAGCATACCCACTGCAGGTGGATGACCTCCTTTTGTGGTCAAGCATTTTGGCTGATCCTAGTTCAGGGCAGTCCCCTGCCCTCCCATCCACTCCTGCTCCTCTCCCTCCCCAGCTACTTGTGCTTGGGTTGAATCCAGCGGGAATCTGGACCCTCCTGTGGTTTCTCTTGCTCTAAGCAGAGGCCATTGACTCCAGAATGAGGTTCCAGGATGGGAGAGAGGCTCAAACAACACGCAGTGTCAGGTCCCCATTGGCAAGACTTGAGCCTCAAGGTATCTCCCCAACTCCAGGCCGCCAGGAAATTTTGGGGGGATCTGGGGGGAAGCCACTGCTTAGTGACCACAGGGATGCTGCAGCGTAACAGTATTTAATAACCTGTGTGTATCAGATGATTAACAAACTAAATTCCAACCCTTGGGGATGCTGTCCTAAAGTCCATGCAGAGCTTGGCAGGCAGCATCCAGACATGTCATCGCATGGTCCCTGAGGGCTCTGAAAATGCATTGCAGGGAGTAGCCAGTGACCATCAGCAGAGGAAAAAAGACCAGCTGTCTGAGACACGAGCAACTCACCTCCAAAATTGTTTCCTGCTGGTCTCAACCCTTTGGAAAGTCCCTGCCAAGGCAGCTGCCAAGCCCAGGACAGATGCACCACATGGCTCAGGACAAGCTGGGTGCTGTTTGCTGGCCCAGTTGCTCCCATGCTCCTGCATGTCCAGCTAAGATAAGATTTAGAAGGGGTCTGGGTTTTGCTTTTCATTCTCCTGGCATAGCAGATCACCCCACTGCACTAAGCTCTCTGCTGCAGGGACCAGAGTGTTTAGCATCTGCTTAAAATTTTTATTTGTTTTAATTATAAGGAGCTGGTGGTGACTTTTAGATAAAAATGGAGAGATTTAGCCTTCTCTCCGTCTCTGTTTCCCACCCTCCCCTTCCTCCTTTTTCTCTCCCTTACTCCATTTCATTCTTCCTTTCATTCTTCCTCCCTTTCTCCCTTTCCTTCTCTTCTTCCTCCCTTTCCTTTTGTTCTTCCTCCTTTTCCTTCTCTTTTTCCTCCCTAAAAATGTACTGATTTCTTCCTTCATGCATTGACAAAATCCCCACTCAGGCAGCAGCAGGCAAGGAGAAACTGAACGATAAGGGCAAAAACAACAGTAAAACTGGAATGAAATGACAGCCATAAACCTGGTACCAGGAGGAACAGTAAAACTGCACTTTGGCAGGAGCCAGCAGGCCGGACTCATAACTTTTTTTTCTGATTAAAACACTCTGGTCACAGATTAACTTCCTTTGCTCAATATTTATTGTCTCACCTGCACTGGAAAGCAGGGAGGAGAGGAAGAGGGGTAGGCAGGACTGGGGACTCGGGATCTGCAGTATGTCTGCAGCTCTGCAGCCTTTGGCAGCTGCCAAGGACATGGACATGTAACCAAAGGTGATGAAGGTGCCTCCAGCAGTTGCCTCTACCATTAAGTGTTTATTCCAAACGGTGCCTGCGCACCAGAACAGCATCCCAGACCAGCATCCCAGGTCTCAACTGTGTCTGCAGAAGGATTCAGTGTCAGAGCTGGGAGTGCTCTGGGTCTCCTAAACATGCAGGACAGGAATGATGATGGAGACAGCCACTGCTACAACCTGTGCAAGCACACTGGCTTGTCTCACTCGAGACAAAACCCCGGGAGCTTTGGGAAACCCATGCCCCTTGGCAGACTGACTCATCTCTTTCAGTGGCATCAGAAAATGGAAACGAAATGAGAATAAATCCCTGGCCACCTCCCCCTCAAGCATCTCTACATCTCCACATCTTCTACTGGACTTATCCCTTGTTCCTTGCGGAGCATGGGACGTGCCAGCCCAGTGCAGAAGCACTGCATCCCTTTTCTAGTGCCTCACAGGCCTATTAAAACACCACAGAGGGTGCAAACACCTCCAAGAGACCTTGATGCATTTTTAATTCATTATCTCCATGTTTGAGCTTAGCCTTAGCTCCTCTTGTTGTCCCCATCCTCCACCCTGCTTACTCCTCCAGAGCAGCTCAGGGTAGGAATTGCAGATGCTGGGGGATGTGGAGTCAGGAAAAGGATGACCCAGCCACAGGGATGCTTTTCCCAGGATCTCTGACAGCTACCCTGTAGAAATGAAATGGCATTGAGGAACATCCCTACAGGGAATCCCAATGGGCCTCAGTTTCCTTTTGATGCTCCCAGGTGAAGAGCAACAGCTGAGTACCCCACAGCCCCTCCACTCCCTGCTCCCTCACCCAGGTAGACTTTTTAATCCCTCTGCCATAAATCACTTTTTAATTACAACTGGAGTGTAACCACTAAAATATAAAAGGCTTCGCAGCTTTGCAGCAGACCAGTGATGGTTCCTATGAATTGCAATGCCCTTCCATCCACACTAGCTCTGTTTGCACCAGCCTGATGCCTCCTCGTGCTACAGGAAAGCTTTGTTGCTCCTTTCCAGCCTTTCATACTCTGTGCACAAGCTAAAAATATCAGGGCAAGAGGAGGTGGATCTGTTGGGAGGAACTGGGAAGCTCAGTATAGTCCTGCTCTCACACCTGGTTGTATCCTCTGCTCCTCCTCTAACTGCTGCTGGCTTCCACCCTGAGCTTTTCAGATTTGAGAGGGGGTGTTTAATTTTTATTTAGAAAAAAATAAAATCAATTCTCAGGCCATCTCAGAGACTTTTTTTTAGCAGCAGCTGAACTACAGCAGCCACTACCTGCAGCAGAGGGCATCCCGGAACTGGCACTCCTCAGCACACGCTGCCTCCCCAGCCTCCACCCTAAATCACAACACAACAAACAGGCTGTTCATTAGGAGCTGTTTAATTAAGCAATATGGATCCTGCCTCGATATTTACAATCCCACTTGCTCTGATTTACTGGAGAGAGCCTCGTTTCTAAAGACGGCGACTGTAAAGTTTAATACCGCTTGACTTAACCGGGAGTTTCATTTACGGCCCCGGGCCGAGGCGCGGCCGCCCGGGCTGGGAGCCGTGGGCTATTAAATCAGAGCTAACTGCGCGTGCAGGGAGATGACGAGCTTCGTTACGACCGGTTCAGCGGCTAATTACCCCAATCTGGATTGCCACATTTAAGCCAATTTGTTGCCGCTTTCCCAGGACCCTGGAGAAATGCGTGGTAGTTAGAGGTTGGCACGCAGGCACTTGTTGCTGTGAGAAGGGATGAAGGGCTGCGATCGGGAGGGCTTCAGAGCCCAGACGGACACTGCTTGTCCCAGGAGGGAAGAAATCAGTCTGCAAGAAGCCAGACTCTGAGCCCGGCAACCCCTATACCATGCGCAGGGATGTCGTGTACAACGAGGGCTCCAAGCTTAAGGGTCACGCACCAGCTCCTTCCCAAAACCTCGGGGCCCCTGGGGAGCCCTGAGGTCAATCTGGGATAGTTCATGCACTCAGGGATGGGGAAATCCAGGCAGAAGGACAGGACCAGCATGTAGCAGAGCATTCAGCGTTGTAGCCATTTGAGTGCCTTTCTGCCTGCCCCAGCCTCGAGGATAGGGATGCACAGATGGGGCAGAGGGAACACAGCCCTCCCCACAAACTCTTGTGTTGTAGGTAGGAGGAGAGCATTGCTCTCCTTGCAAGGTATCTCGAGCCCTCAGGAGCTCACTCACAGACTTGACAAGGGTAGTGGTCTCGTTAAGAGAGTTGTGAGAACGGTTCTTCAGTGACAAATAAAAACTATTTGTGCAAAGACATGATAGTGCATAGCACAGCATCCCCCCAGGTTAGCTGTGGTGGCATCTCTGTCCACAGTCTACCACTGGACAGCCCAGGGACTTTCCTGGAGGGAAGGGCTGCAAGGGAGGAGAGCACAGATAGGTGAATGCAGCTTCCCTCAGCTCAGCCCAGGGACCAGGCTGCCGCTATCCCACACAATAACTGGCCACAGAGAAGGACAAAGGGGGCTGCAGCACACCACGAGGAGAGATGACCCACCAGTCCCTGGCTGCACTCCAGCAGCCTGGGCACTCACAGTAGGCACTGTGAGGGCTGCAGGCCAGCAGTCTCAGGCAGAGAGGATGAAGAGGAGCAGCTCCAGGGCTGAGCATTCCAGCAAGCAGCTTCCATGCAGCAAGTTTGCCAGGACTCAGTTCTCTCCCAGGGACTGGCTAAGGCTTGATCTATATCCATTCCTCCCTGCTTCCCACTCCTCCCCAAGCCTGCAGCACTCACAGACTCAGAGCTCCCCCCATGGAGGAAGAGGAGGCAGCACAGAAGCAGGGCCAGGAATAAGAGGCATGGAGGTGCCAGCACATCCCCTGCACCCCCTGTGTTACCCCCTTCCAGCAGCTGGAGGTCCCCACCAGAGACCCTAAACCTCCCACCCAGGACTGAGAGCCACAAGGGCACAGGCAGAGGCACTTTTGCTTCCAGGTTTTATTGTTCAGGGTTGGGGGAGGGTATGTCCCTCCACAGGGCAGGAAGAACTCTCAGTCCCACCAGTGAGACTAGACTGGTAAGGAGTGTAAACCCTTTAGTAGTGGTAAGAGCACGCTGTGGAGGCAGAGACAAAGCCTGCGATGGTGAAGGAGACAAGGAACAGCACCACCTATCTGAGGATGTCACAGGATTAGGCCTGGAGTACCTGAACAGGCAAAACCAGTCCCAAAACCCAGCCCAGCCATGACAAGGCTCAGGAGAATCTGGGAGCTCAGAGAGGTCACAAGTGACATGAGTTCCCAAGCCTCAGCTCTCACCACTGCCAGTCGGCTCCTGGCCTTACCAAGCACATAGAATCATAGACCTCTACCATTAACCCAGCACTGGCAAGGCCACTACTAAACCACATCCCCAAGTGCCACATCTACGTGTTTTTTGAATTCTTCCAGGCACAGGGACTCCACCACTTTCCTGGGCAGCCTGTTTCAGTGCCTGGTCAACCTTTCAGCGAAGAAATTTCCCCCAATATCCAATCTAAACTTCACCAGGCACAACTTGAGGCTGTTCCCTCTTGTCCTATCATTTGTTATCTGGGAGAAACCTCCCCACCTGGCTATGACCTCCTTTCTGGTAGTTCTAGGATGAGGTCACGTTTCCCCTCACACTCACATCTGAGGACTGGCTCCGCTGCTCCCCATCACATCTCCTTGTTTCCTTCCTTGTAGTGCACCTCGGGGAGGCTCCTCAGGCGCTCAGCTGCCTGCGGGGCACAGCACAAAGGGCAGCCAGCGGCCAGTCCCAGGAACAGCCCTGCCCCAGGACTCTCTGCTTCTCCCAGTCCCTGAGAGCTGCACTCACCTGCTCCGGGGTGAGGTCCCTCTGTGCCTGTGCCAGCATCTCATATCCCACCATGAACTTGCGGACAGTGGCAGAGCGGAGCAGGGGGGGATAGTAGTGGGCGTGGAGCTGCCAGTGCCTGCAGTCCTCCTCCAGGTGGGGGCCCGTGGGGGCTCCTGCCACAGGTGCAGGTACTGCATGAGCCACGGGAAGGGGATGGGGATGCGAGTGAGAGGATTGCAGGGGTCTCCCAGCTATGCCACTCACCATGCCAGCCCATGGAGTAGGGGAAGGAGACTTCAAAGAGGTTGTCGTACTTGATGAGCAGCTTCTTCATGATGGAGGCCAGGCCTGCAGAAGAGTGCCACCCTGAGCTGGCCAAACCCCTCCAAGGGCCGGCAGCATGGCAGGCAATGAGGGGTGTCACCCTCAGCACCTCTCCCTGGGTGGACACCAGTGACAGGCAAGAGGATTGCACTTGGTAGTTGACGCCCTCCATGCAGACAGCACCAGCAACACAGGAGGAGTTCCCCCAAAAGTAGAGAGCACCATGTGCTTCATCACCCCAAAAAAGACTCTATTCTCACATGCAGTACTGCCTGTGCCTGGACACTCAGCTCTTATTCCAGCAAAACAGGGGTATTTTGCTCACCCTCCTCAGCCAAACCTGCTGGCCCCACAACCCAAGGGGACATGGGCTCTCCAGCACCAGCACAGCTACCAGAGAGCCACCTCCTAATAAAGGTCAAAGCCCAAAGAACATGAGACAGGGGCTAACAAAGTTCAGAGCCACTCACTGTCCCTCTCTCCCTCACTGAGGTCCTGGAGGCGGCAGACGTGGCGGCGGGGCAGCAGCAGGGTCTGGTAGGGCCAGGTGGCCCAGTACGGCACCACAACCAGCCAGTCCGCATTCTCCACCACCAGCCTTTCCTGCAGGACATGGTGCTTGATGGGGAATTAAGCAATCCCAACACCCCAGGGCAGTCCCAGGCGGGGAGCCCAGCTTTTGGGGGCTGGGGAACCCGCCCTGGCACATATCCAGCTGCCAGGGAGGGGGTATGGACAACAGCCACAGCCTGACCTTTCGGCGAGCCTCCTGCTCAGCGTACTCCAGCAGCATGGGCACGCCGTGCTGCCTCAGGTGCTCACGCTGGGTCCGGTCCTCCAGGCGCGCCTCGTTCGGGAGGAAGCTGCTGGCCCACACCTGGGAGGAACACCGGGGCACAGTGCTGGGGGACTCGCACCCGCCTTTGCAGGGGTAACCCAAGCCACGCTGCCCATCTGCAGGTCCCTGCTGCCACCAGGTGGAGAGTCCAGATTACGGCAGCCACAAGCGACAGTGCCCCCGGGAGGGGAGGTAACTGGACAGGCATGGGGTCTCCTCACTGCTCGGAAGACCAGGGTGGGGGGATTGCCGTTCACATCTTCCCCCGGGGGTTTGTTGTGGGGCCGCTCGCAGGGACTCGCGGTTTAGCCAGGTCACAGGTCGGACAGACTCACCTGGCAGTGGGGGTGCGGATTGGAGCAGCCCATCATCGCTCCCTTGTTCTCGAAGATCTGCAGAGGAAGAGGTGCAGCCAGTAGGTCCCAGCTGCAGGGTCCCCACTGCGAGTTGCTGTGGTGTCCCCAGGACAGCAGGGAGGCATCCGCAGGGGAGCAGAGCCTCACACCCACATGGAAAGGCTCAGCAGGGCATGACGTAGGGACAGGGGACCAACATACATACACAGCTAGGATGGTCCCAACCCCCGGTGCTGCCAGAGTACCCAGCACTGGCCCCCCACCTCCAGCCAGAAAAGAGCAGCCCCCACCAGCCCCACACCTGCACCCAGGGGTAGGAAGCACCCAGCTCGGTCGCCAGCTCTGCCCACGCATCGATGACAGCCCGGATCTCTGCCAAGGACATGAGGGGCAGCGTCAGGTCCGACCAGGGGTGGAAGCACATCACCTTGCTGTGGAGGAAACACACGTGGCTGGGACTGTGGGTATCTCCAGAGACCCTCACAGCCCTGCCGAGTGCAGTGGAATAAGGGAGACAGTGACAAGACCTCCAGAATAACCCCAAAATAGAGCAGATGTCCAGAGAACAGGCACTGCAAGAGGAGAGCAGGCTCAGTCCAGCATCATATCACAGGTCCTGGACAAATTGTGTCCCAGACTCCCTGGAGCCATGGAGGTACTTACCACACACCCCTGGCTGGGGCAGCTCGGAACAAGGGGTGATCACTGTCGTCTAGGGAAGAACAGAGAGTAGAGAAGAAGAAGGTGCTGGGGCAGCACCCGTGTCTCTCCAAGCCACCCTGCAGCCCCTCCAAGACCCAAGTTTTGGGGGTCCCCGGCAGCCTGTTCTACTCCCAGAAGTTACCAGGTTCTGGAGCATCGGGCTGCAGCGCAGGGAAGTCATTTGGGAAGATGAAAGTGCCCTCGTACTGCGGGTTCACCTGCCGGGACGAGAGACGGGATCAGGATAGCAGAGAGCGTTAGGGGGAGCCCGGCCCCCAGGGTCCCTTGGTAGTACCTCGCCGTTAGCCCGGGTGGCCCCGGGACAGAGGGGGTTGTTAGGGTCCCAGCGGGGTACATCCTCGGGGGGCGGCTTCTCCAGCTGCCCTTGCCAGGGGCGTTTCACCCGGTGGGCCGATACCAGCACCCAGTCGTCCCGCAGAGGGTTGTACCGAGTGTGCTGGTGCTCTGCGGGCAGGGGAGAGCAGCGGGGCGTCAGGGAGGGACGCGGGAGTCAGACATCCTCCTGCGGACGGGCTACACAAACACCCACCTCCCACGAGAGGAAGGCACGCAAGAGACTTCGAACCTTCCCAGCTTCACCCCTTCCTCCCTGTCCCGGTCCGCTGCCACCCGCCCTAGGGCGGGGAGAGTTCCCGCAGCTCCCGCTTCCCGGGGCTGTGCTGCGCTCCACCTGGGGATCCGGAAGGATGGACGAGGGATGGAAACGAAAGGAAGAAGGGAGGGAAGAAGGGAAGGAGGAAGGGGAGCAGCCCCGTCCGTACCGCTGGCGCGGAAGCGGCTGCCCCCCTCCTTCTGTCCCGCCGGCGCTGGCTCCATGCCTGCCCGCTCCCGGAAACCCGGCGGGATCGGCCCCTTCCAGCCTCCCGCTCCGCCCCGCCGCGCCGGCGCAGCCGCCCCAGGCCGTGCGTGGCGTGGCCGCGGCGGGGGCGGTCCCGGGCCGGGTCCCGCTGCCGCTCCCGGTGCCGGGGGGGCGGCGGAGCGCGGCATGGGAGCGCCGTGGGGGCGGCAGGCGCTGCGGGCCGGGCTGGCGCTGGGAGCGCTGGCGCTGGTGCTGCAGGCGCTGCGGGGATGGCTGGCGGCCAAGCGGTACGAGTTCACCCCCGCCGAGATCGCACAGCTCGCCCGGCACCACGCGGGTAACGCGGCCGCCCGTGGGGACCGGGGCGGGGGGTAGCGGCGGGGAGGGGGAGCGAGGGGGACAGGGATGGCCATGGGGATTGGGTTGGGGGCGGAACCGGGGACGTGGCACGGAGCGGCGGCCTGGGGTGGAGAGGCGGGCCATGTCGAGTGCGAGGGACCAAGGAGTCCGGTACAGGGGGGCTGGGATCACGGGGGAATAGGGTTGGTGTCAGGAAGGGGCCAGGGGCTGGGACTGGGCAGCAGGACCGGGATACGGAGGGGATCAGTACAGGGCAACAGCAACAGGGAGCAAGGGGGAAGCAGAGTGGAAAATGGGGCTGAAGCAAAGGAGAGATGGGGACCAGGGCAGCGGCGTCACTCGGCCCGGCTGGGACCGAACCCGGGGTCAGGGCAGTTCTCTCGGTGCTTGGGCTGGGCCGGGTCAGGGGATCGAGCCCCACGTGGGTCAGAGGCATAAGCGGCCCGCTCGCTGGGGCTGGAGGGGAGGGTTGTCCCTGCAGGGCACAGGGTGTACGGTCGGGGCTGCATATCACCGGAGTGGGGGTACTGTCGCCTTTCTTGGGTTCCCCTGTTGCCCAGCGCCTGGGGTGGGCTGTAGGACTAGAGCACTTGGTGCTGTTTATTGTTCATCACTATCCAGGGAGGCAATGGAGACGGGTCAACAGGGACTGAAGGCTGAGGAAAGGAGATATCTTCCGTAGACAGATCCCTCTAAGGGAGTGCTGGGACCCTCTGGCTGTGCAGGGGATTTGGAGGGTGGCCAGCAAAGCTTTTTCTGTGCTGGGGACTTACAATGACCCTGGGTGCTTCAGGGCTGGACCATGAGCTGGCTTTCTCCAAGATCATTGTGGAGCTACGAAAGAAGCACCCAGGCCACATCCTGCCAGATGAGGACCTGCAGTGGGTGTTTGTGAATGCAGGGGGGTGGATGGGCTCCATGTGCCTGCTCCACGCCTCACTCACCGAGTACGTGCTGCTCTTCGGGACAGCTGTTGACACTGGGGGCCACTCAGGTAAGCAGGGGGACAGGCCTGACAGGCAGGGTTGTTCTGTGAGCTCTTTCTACTCCACTTGTTTGGGTCCAGCTGCCCCAGCTGTGATGTGCCTGGCACGGGGAGCCCATTGCTTCACTTCTTGTATGGGGTGGACGATGCTGGAAAATACTTTGTGTGCCCCAGTGTGCATGGTGTCCTGCAGCACCTGCGGGTCCCTGTGCATGACGTGTTGTATGGCCAGGACTCTCTGCAGCCAGCTGGCAGGCGATGGCAGACATCTCATTTCCCGGTACTTCAGCAGGGAGCAAATGCCAAACAAGGTGGAAACGATGGGGCTTAAGGACACCAAGCAGCACAAGCTGGTTGTTCACACAGGCAGCCTGGGTACCAGACCCATCTGTGCTTCTTGGTGTATTGAGGCCCTGGGGCCTGGCATCTTTACCCCCAGAGGGCTGTTCTGTGGTTCAGACCTGGGCTCCTGCCCTGTCCCTGGCAGGGACATGCTCAACCAGTGCTGCCTACTCTCCCATAGGTCGGTACTGGGCAGATATTTCTGACACTGTCATCTCGGGGACATTCCGGCAGTGGAAGGAGGGGACCACCAGAAGTGAGATCTACTATCCAGGTAAGTGCAGCAGCCATGGCACCCTGTGGGTTGCATCCATGTCCTTGGGACAGAGCTTGTCATAAAGCCCCTTCCATCAAGCTGGCCAAAAGCTCTGGATAGGGTAGTTTATGTCCCCAGTGACACATCCCAGCATCTCGGTGGCTGGCAGTAAGAGAAAAATGAGCAAGGCTGGGGATGGGTTGGGATGCTCAGCCTTGCAGGTCCCTATCTGAGGTGTCTCCCCTTTGGGCATGATGCGGGGCAGCTCCTGGGAGCCGTGCTGGTTGTGTTTGTTGGCAGGAGACACCATCGTGCACCAGGCGGGAGAGGCCACGTCAGTGCAGTGGAGCGCGGGCACCTGGATGGTGGAGTACGGCCGGGGCTTCATCCCCTCCACACTCGCCTTCGCCCTGGCTGACACCCTCTTCAGCACTCAGGACTTTGTCACCCTCTTCTACACCTTGCGTGTCTACGCCAAGGGCCTGCTCCTGGAAGCCAATGCCTTCTTCAGCACCTTTGGATGCTGAGCCTGTCTTGCCAGGGCACCCTGCCGAGCCCAGTTGGCTCCACTCCTCCCAGCCTTTCTCTCTTCCTCCCCAAGCCCAGGCTCTAGCAGAGGCAGCAGGAGATCCCCTGTGCCTTCCCCAAATCTCTCTGTCCTTCCCCACGGGCCAATGGGGTGCCAGGACAGAGGGACCTTGGTGGTCACAGCATCACAGACCGCCAGTTCTCTTTACTACCTGCCTCTCCCTCCTTTCTATCGGAGTCATGTCCAGCTTTTCCATCCCTCGGCGCTGGAGTGTACAAACACCCCTGTGTGCCCTCAGCATGCAGCGGGAGAGGAGCTGGCTGTCCCCAGGCCCCATAAAATTTCTGCAGCTCTTGACACATCAGGAGAAGGATGCTGCCCTCAGGGCTGGGTGCACAGGGTGAGCCAGGCTAGAGCACCCACTGTAAAGGTCAGCCAGTTAAGTGCCCAGTCTCCCTGGCAGCCTGCCGGGACTGCGGGCAGCGCAAAGCACTGTGTCCAGCTGGCAGCATCTCCTGTGGCTCCACCCCTGCTGATCTGGGTTGGCAGCACATTGCGTCACCCTGGCACGGGGCAGGATCTGCACTGAGACCCCCCCCAGCAGCGGGGGGATGCCAAGCTTCTGTGCTGGAGATCCCCCTGATCCCCTGTGCGTCATCTCACCCAGGGGATGGGCTGGGGCTGGAAGAGGGTCCCTTTCCCACAGTCCCCTCCCTGCAGTGCCCCCCCAAGGGGGAAACCCACCGTCTGTCGCCTTAACGGAGACCCTGTTCTGCATGGCCTCTTGGCTATGCGCGTACCTAGTGTCCTCGAGTGCCCAAATGTCTGTTTTACTAGCTCAGGATGGGATCTCGGCCTTTAAGATGCTTCCCCTGGCTGTGAGATCCCGTGGGGACAGCCACTCTGCTCGGCTCCCGGCATGGGATCCCGGCTGCCGGCGGAGCGCTGCAATGTCCCCAGTGGAACCCAGCTGTGGACCCTGCTTGCATCCCTGTGGCCAGACCCATGTGGGCTCACTGCATGGTGGAGGACTTTAACCTCCACGCTGCTGCCAAGCACGTGTGTGTCCTTGGCCACCCAGGCCTGTAGCATGTTGCTCCTCCTCCTCTGTGGACTGTCCCTGTCTGCTGACCAGCAGCCCTGCACATGGGCTACTTCTTAATTTGCTACCTGAATAGAGATACCAGTAATAAAGTTGTTCATCCCACATGCTCAGGTGTCTGGGAGAGTTTCTGGAGCGTGCTGAGCCCTGCTGTGATGAAGGCCAGCCACATGCTCAGCAGTAGTTCCTCCTGACAGCTGAGTGTCCCCGGGGAAGGCTGGCATCATCCCTCTTAGGGTCCTGGGAGCAAGGGTACACGTTGTTGGGCAGGGTCAGCCCTGTCTCAGCTCCCGGGGATTGGCAGAAGATGGTGCTGTTACTCCTCTCTCCACTGCAGTCGCTGGGGACCAAAAACCTGGGCTGATGCCAGGTCCCTGCTTCCATGGGGGGTCCCAGCACCCAGTGGGCTCCATCCTTTTAGGGGACAGTACCAGTGCTGGGTCTGTGGCCCTGAGGGTGGATTGACCTAGACATAGCAGGTGATGGTTCTGAGAGGTTTACACACGCACACACACACACACATATTGGCAGACACGCTGCATGCATGTGTACATAGGGGCAGGCAGGATGGTTATGTGTGTGTGTGTTTTGCCACATGTGCGTGCATATAGGTAGAATAGTTTTCAGGTGGGTATAGGCACAACAGGTGGTGACACACAGGTGTGTATATAGGTAGAACAACCACGTGCCTGTCCATACAATCCGGGCAGTGACACGTATGTGAGTGCTGGGACACACCTGTGTGGGATGTGCTCATGTGTGTGTGCCCGTGCAGGTGAGATTACGTGTGTCATGCACGTGCACAATGCACACACCAGCAGGTACGTACACCTCTTTGCTCACCTGTGTGCTCGTGGTCAGACCGTGTGTATGCACACACGCGTGTGGACACACACGGGCTGGGTGTGCTCACATGTGGGTGTGCCCGTGGGCCGCCAGGCCTCCCTGGCCCTGTGCCATGGCCCTTCCCTGGGGTCTAGCTGGGCCCTGTTGGGAAACACAAGCAATCCCACACGAGCTGGCCCGCCTGGGAAGGCGCTAACTCAGCAGCTCGTATCAATACCGCTCCACTTACAGCGAAGGCTGCATAATGAAAATCCGATGGGCACGCTGGTGGGAGTAAATAAGTATGCCATTAAAATAAGAAAATCAAAGCTCTGGACAGGTCTTTTCTCTTGCCCATTGATTTCTTTTATTACGGAAATATTGCTGCTAAATAACATTAGTGTGAACAATCTCAGCAGTGTTTTCTGTAGCACCCGTGTCAATAACTCCATCATGGGTGGGGGATCCCTCCCAGCCCAGCTGCAGGGACAGAAGCCCTGTCTATGCAAAAGGCTGCTCTGAGGATGCCTTCCTCAGCATTCCCAGCTAAGCTGGGACATGCCAAGCAAAGAAACCATGTAGCTTGGGCATCTCAGACTCAGGAACCCTGGCTACTTTGCAGCAGCAGGAGGGGTTCCCCCATCCCAGCACTGAGCACAGACAGGGCCAGGCATTCAAGGTTCCCAAAAATCATCCCTTCCCTTTGGTGCAAGTGTTTGCAGCCTCTTAGTCAGGTAAATGTCTCCAGTGATCACAGAGGAAAAATGAGTCCTGGACAAAGCATGTCATGAAGGCTTTTGGTGCCTCTGCTCCTTCCTCCCCACACCTCCTCATCCTTGCCTGGGTCCATACTGGCTTGACCCCACTCCCTGCAGCTTGCCATCACTTGATTTTCATGGAGAAACTGAGCCACAGGGTAGAAACTCATACACAGTCGCCCTGTGCCAGGGCCAGGGCTTCCACTCCAACTGCCCCTCTCCCCCTTGGCTGCCCACGAACCCATCCTTCAAAGTGCCAAGAGACAGCAGGGACAACCTTGTGGGGACAGAGTGTGTGACCAGGACATACAGAAAATAGGCACCCTTTGATACCCAGAGGCCAGACAGGATGCCAGGCGACCTTAAAGGACACAAGCCCTTGTGGAGTAGCTGGAGACGGGCACCTGTACCCTGGCTCTGGCTCTGGCTCAGCCCCAGCTGAAGCAACTGTGAGTGGCATCTCCCCAGAGCTGTTACCAGGACAAATGCACATCGCTGCCTTCCTAACACCTTCCCCCTGCAACTCACTTTATCTTGCTGTCCCTCCACATGCAGTAGGTATTGATCAGCCCACAGGATCTATCTCTCGATTCCTCCTGCGGTATCTCTCTGCTCCGAGTATCTCTCACTCTGCTCCACTGTCTGCTGTGCCCATCTATACCTCTACTATCTATCTGTGCCGCCTCAACCACAGTTGTCAATAGCCCTTTGGGGAATTTCTCTCCAGCTGGGAGCATCACCAGACCCCATCAGTGCAAATCACTGAGCAGGAGGGGGCAGAGGACATGGTCCTGCTTGTTGCACCGAGGAGAGCCTGAGCACGGACATACTTCATGACACAAGTTCAGAACCCCAGAGCTGCTGTTACCACTGCAGAGGCTCTGGAGAGGAACTGAGTCATGCTGGTCAGGCTGGGACAGGTCCCTTGGTGGCCATGCCCAAGGCAATGGGGCATGTTCCACCCCCTGGAGACCTTGGGTTTGCCACTAGCCAGCCTAGCCACATCCCACATCCCTGGGTGATACACTAACCTAAGCATCCCCTCAGCCTTGGAGATGGGGAGCTTCACCAAACACCCGCATGTTGAGGCTTGGAGTAGTTCCACACCATCACCAAGTCTCTCATCCCACCCAGCCCAGCCTTCAGTGTGCAGTGGATCAGGCACAGCCCAGAGCAGAGCGTGTCAGCACCCTGCGGTGCAAGGCAGCAGCACTGTGAGGGGAGGCTGGAGCCATGTGGGATGAGTGTCCATGCAATGAGTCCTGGGGGTTATCTGGCTCTGTGGATCCCTCTGAAATAGGGCCAGGTCTCATCTTCCCAGTGGCAATTCAACAAGAATGCCAGCCACCAACAAACTAATGCTCAGAGGGGCTGGCAAGCGCCGGGAGGTCCCTACGTCTGCCGCAGCAGGATGGGATGGGCCAGTGCAAGCTACAGCTGTCCAACCCTCAAATAGGACGGCCGACAGCTAATTTATCTCCTGCGCAAAGATAAACAGTGTCTGGGGGCCCTGCAGGGTCGTGAGCTGCCCTGCTTTCCCAGGGAAGGGTCTGATTTTTCCAGGAGAGCCTCTCTGGTAAGCATGCTGCACTATGCTGAGTGCAGCTGAGGTGCCAGGAGCTGAAGAAGCCCTTAGAGTCACCAGTGCCATGGCAAGACAAGGGGCAGTTTCTCCAGCTATGCTCACAGGGAAGCTGGAGAGCCCATAAGCAGCACCTTTTCCCCACAAAGGGAAGTGGTGAAGTGGGGCAGAGGATCAGCCCAGGCCACAGGGCCTGAGAGCAAAGTCAGCTCCTGCCACAGCCGTGGCCAGTGGCTGTTTCTGCAAGATGCTCCAAATAAAAGGGAGGATTTGGCTCCTACTGGCTGCCCATGGCCCCTGCAGCACATAGGTGGCTGTGGAGGGGATAGGCCCAGCAGCCCTTGGCACCCAAGCTCTGTTATCCCATGCCACTGACACCCAGTGAAGAAGTATGAAGTCTCAGTGACAAACTGCTCTGGTTATGGGATGGAGCCAAAGCCACAGTCCCTGTGATACGGGATGACACTGCTCCCCAGGGATGCATGCAAACCCTGCAGCTGCCCTGGCCAAAAAAGAAAAGCACAAGGAAAAGCAAGCACCTCCTTTGTTTCCTGGCAAAGTTTCCTCCATTAAAAAAACAAAAAACAAAAAACAAAACAAAACAAAACCCACAGAAAAAAAAACCACAAAAAACACACAAAAACCCCCCAAACAAACAAACAAAAAACTGGCAGGCAGACAGGTTGGGGGGGAGTGAGGAAACAGTGTGGGGAAGCTGCTAGCAGGTGAAGTCTGTGCTTCCCCATGGCCTCTGGCCTGCCCAGGGCAGCAAGATGCTGTGTCCTCATTCCATATCACATTGTTTTCTCATATCTGGAGACATGCTTGATGATACCCTGGTTCCACAGTTTACCCCATTGCAAGCAGGGCTACAGGGCAAGCCAGCAGCACTGAACCAGTCCAGCGACAGAGGAGGTGCATGGTCCTATCCTGACCGTGCCAAGAAGCCTATCTGGGTATCCAGGCCACATTGCAGTTTGATCCCTTCGACCAGGGACATACAGCACGCCTCAAGACAATCCCTTAGAGGTCCTGGCCTGAGGTCAGGTCTCAGACCCCATCACGGGACATTGCTGCTGGGTGAGGATGCAGTCAGAGTTCAGCACTTTGAGGTTGCCCTAAACACCCCCTTTGCACCAGCACATGGACTGACACCCCCACCACCCCCAAACACAGGCATGTGCACACACCTGCCTGTGCACACAGTGCACACCCCCACCTCTCCTGACACAGCCTGCGCCCACCAACGGGTGAACACACAAAACACACAACCCCAGCTCCCCACATACAGATATGAGCATTTATTATTGTCCCCAGCAGCAAACACACACGTGTGTGCTCACACTGCAGGCGTGTAGTGCACTCATCTCTCCCAGCAGGCACAGATACAGGTATGATCAGACATCCTGCACACGCGTGTGGTGTGTCGTCTGTCCCAGCGTGCACATACCTATGCACTCAAGCGACAAACACACAAACAAAATACCTTCTCCTAGCACACCCAAGTATCTACACACACACCTCTATAAAGGTGCGCAATAGGCACAATGTTATAAGTAAAATAAACATCTCCGCGCAAACCCCTCGCGTACCCCTCCTATACACTCCCCTCTTCTCACACATCGATGTGTGCACACCCGGAGAGCCTGCACCGCACGCCCATGCACTCCACTCTTCCAGCACCCCAAAGCACGCAAGAACACACACAAACTGGGGGTCGCCCAGCCCCCTGCGCCCGCAACCTCGGCCCCTCCCGCCGCTCCCCCGCACGGCTGCCCCGGGCTGGCTCTCGGCGGGCTGGGCCGGGGCGACCCTCCGGGGCTGCCGCAAGCCCGGCCCTCCCCGGGTGACTCCCTTGACGTGCGCTAGCAAATGGGAGTGGGGCGGGGTGTTGCTTCTGACTGCCACTTGTTGCAAAAAAAAAAAAAAAAAAAAAAAAAAAA